AACTCATGAACGGCCACTTTATACTGAGCTAAAAGCCATTACCTCTCCAGAGTTTTCAATATCGCTTCTGTATTAACTAGGTTCTCTAAAGCGCTTTCAATTTGGTGAAAGTGAAACCAAATGGTCTCTATGTCCCCTCGTGATACCTCAATGGATTTCGCTCTTGAATGGAAATGGTTAACTATCATGTTTGCTCTGTTCTCGTATCGGTCTCCCTTTTATGAAACAACACAATAAGATAAAGCGTGTTGATGAGAATTGACAGTTAGTTCTTCAGATTTTTAGTGAAGGTAAAAGCGTCTGGACAAATATCCATTGTCTTGACATGATGTGGAAGCATACGAACGTGACCGTCGTGGAGATTGGAGTTGACGTCATTGATACCCGTCCGCATTTCCATTTCTATAACACTTCCTTTACCGACAAAGTGAAACCAAATGGTTTTAGAATTAATGAAGTTTTAATGAAGTGCTTCCAGGTTTTATTGTCTGTGGCTTCAGCCAGGTGCTTTATTCATCCCTCCGTGAAACTTTTAACCACTTTTCCGTAGAGCTTTTCAAATTCAAAAATGAGTTTATGATACTTTGCCGTAGTCTTCGATTCCACAATTGGCGTGCTAGTTCGACTGTTCCTGGAGACAGACGCCTTTTGGTGAAAGAACGATATCTTTTCAGAAACAGGTTAAAAAATTGAACAAATTTCAATTTTCAGTAATTTTAGGCCACTTCCTGAACTCTCCAGCTTTTTCTCTTCTGTGAAAGAAAACAGTAATGTAAAGTAATGATGATGCAATTTCGTCAAGAACTTTGGGGACGCTAGTTAATTAGTACCTTTGTTTCACTATCGGTCTATTTTGTTATAGTACTTTCCACTGGTAGGAAAACTATCACGCCTAACAGTGAAAGGGAGATTTCTGGAATTGTCAAACAGTGGCTAACCATTTTCGTCATGAAATGTCAAACAGTCTCTCGTCATGTTCCATCCATTCTTATCTGTGGGTTCCACATAGTGTTATTCAGACCATTTCCTGAAGCCAATTTGGCGTTGATGATAGCAATTTTGTTCTTGCGGAAGCTATCATTTTCTCCATAGAACCTCTCTAATTCCACATGGAACGCTCTAACGCGATCTTCATCATAGCTCGATTTTGGTAAGTAGGAGGCAAAGATGGTCACAGCCGAAACGATCCTCGTCTTTTCAACCGAAATGTTCCATAAAAAATTGGTCTGCATGCATTGGAAGCGCAGATCATTTTATTTGTCCTTCTAAGTATAAATGTTTAGTGATTATCTTGAGCAATACGTAAAGGTCTGATCGAAAGCCACCGTATCGTGGTATCTGTAATAGCAGGGAACTGAGCGTCGTCGTTTTCGGTTTCTCTGACAATGCACATCTCGAAGAGTTTTACGGGATATGATGTGGGACTTGTACAAATTATGCATATCTTGCCGGTATTTCCAGATTAGACCGTAGAAATCACGCTTGTCTTGCCGGTATTTACCAGACTAGACCATCACTTACTAGCTGGATGAGACTCTTGACCGCCTCCCATGTGACTGCTTCCCATTATGTGAAGGCTTTTCACCGAATTTACGCAAAAGGTAGAGCCTGCACATCATCACTTGTAGTCCCGTTGATCGTTGAGTCACTTGAGCGAGCGCCAGTAAATCTTCCACTTTGCCCTGTCATTTGCAAGAAAAGTTCAGTGGGTTCTGCTCGCTCTAAGGAATCGTTAAGCATCATATCCTTCTTCAAGTCTGCGAAGAAATCTGACCATCGAGTCCATGGTCTCTTGCAGTACGTTTGACATCCCGAGGGATCAAGTCACTAACGGCTTCTGTTCGTCAGTTGTCGTTCATACGCATTATGTATCCGGCCCACCTTATCTTCGACTGTTTGGCGTACAAAACGACATCTTTGATTTTTGATCGCTGACGCAGATCGGAACTTCAGATCCCATCCCTTACTTGTGTGAAACGGGATACTGCGCGTTCAATAACGCTGACTGATCTTTCATCCTGCTTACGTAGCGACTAGGTTTCTGACCCATACGTTAAGGCAGGAAGTACCGTTAAGTCGAAAAGGTGAACACGGAGTCGGGTGTTATTTGTTCTCTTCACCTCATCCTCGACGCTCCTGAGAGCTCCCCAAGCCGCTCGTTTCTTTCTGCTCAGCTCTGCAGCTAAGTCGTTCATCATATCGAATTCCCGACCTAGATAGACATAACTGAAGCACTGAAGCATTATGAGATATTCGTTCCGTTGTGCGTGAATGGGGCACAAGAAGCCAATCCGTTCTTTATGAACATCGTTTTTGTGAGATGTAGTCGAAGACCAATCCTTCCACAGGCTTTATCAAAATCGGCAAGCATTCGTTCCGCTTAGCTAATATTTGGTGTTATAAGGATGATGTCATGAGCAAAGCGAAGATGATAAAATTGCTGATCGTCGATTTTTACTCCCACGTTGTCCCATTCAAGTCTTCGCATGACGTTCTGGAGGGTGGCGGTAAATAATTTTGACGACATGTTACCGTCTTGCCCTCTTTTGACGTCGGTGATAATATCGTTGTAAAATGTTGATATCTTGGTTGTGAAATCTTTGTACTGCTCACGAAGAATCTTTACGTACTGAGTAGGGACACCTTGACTATCAAAGGCTTCCTTGACTCCTTCTATCTCAATTGAGACAAAAGTCTTCTTTGAATGGAAGAAAATGAGATAGAGCGGTCTTTTGTACTCTTGCGATACTCCAATGAATCTTATTATCGTGTGGACGTGGTCCATCGTACTGAATCCTTTTAGAAACCTTGCTTGCTCACATGGCTGCCCTTTGTCTAGTGTTCCGTCAGTCCTATTTAGGATGACTCGAATGAAAAGTTTGTAGTCGGCAGACAGCAAGTAGATTGGGCGATAGTTGCCGATATCGTGTAGGTCACCCTTCTTGAACAGTAACACGGTCTTGCTGGTTTTCCACTGAGTAGGGCGCTTGCATTCGGACAGGTAACATGTGAATAACCTGGCCAGTGTGTTTACGAGGACTGGCGGAAGGTTCTTCAAGTATTCAGATCTTACTTTGCCCAGACCAGGTGCTGTTCAATTTTTTCACAAACGAAATGACATGTCGGATTTCGGAAGGGAGAACCGGTGGTACAACATATCCATCCTCCTTTATTTCATATGAAAAAAAGGTGGACGTGGCTATCGAAGAGATCCGAGTAGTATTAGTGAATGATTTTCCCCATTGCCATTCTGGACGCTGTAAGTGTTGTGTCTGGGCGCCGGAATACAATCATCTTGGTCTTGTAATTGGCGAAGCTTCGGTGGGCTTTGGGAATGCTTTTCCCAGTCTCTGCAGCTTCGGTCGTTCCTGCTGCTCTTCTCTCCTTAAGATCTTTTATCGCCTGTCTGCATTGTTTTGCAAGTTCGGACGTTAGTTCGCGGTTGCCTGCAGCTCGTGCGATTCCACGCTGGCGAATCAGCTCGAGTATTTCTGGAGACAGATGTCTAGATGTCTCTTGGTGACTTTCGAGCTCTTAGCTTTTATAGCGCTAACGGGAAACTGCTGAATGAGCCGATCGTATTTTTCGTTGGTGTTGTCGAGAACGGTGCCTTCCCAATAGGCAACTAGAGGATTGAATAAATCCCAGTTTATGGTGGTTCTGGGACATCGTTTTTTGAATTTAGCGGCTTTTTCTCCTTTCCGGGAGAAATAACATTGTGAACGAAGAAGGTGATGGTCTGATCCCATCTAGAACTTTGTTACAACAGTGACATTGGTAAAGCAAAACCTATTTACCACGATGTGGTCTATTTCGTTATGGTGGCTCGTGTGGCGCAGTAGTTGAAGGCGCCAATGCGACACACGTGGAATCGATCCCGCGCTCATATCCCACCAAGCCTTCCATTCCTCCGGGATTGGCAAATTGGTACAGATTTGTCTGGGAGGATAGCAGCATCGGCTCGATACATCGATAGGCCACCGGTCGTTGTAAAGGCCAGATATGCGTTCAATCACTTCCAACGATACTTAATGAAGTCGAATGCACGGCGCATTGCTCAGGGATTGATGAACGCCGAGACAACCACCATTATACATTTGCACGACGAAACTTTCCGATCTCTCAATAGTGATCCGAAATATTCCAAAAAGTACTGCTAATAGCACGGTTCTCTGTGCAACATGAAAAGTACTTTCTATATACAACTCGTATAAGTTAGTGCTTTCCTAAACAACTGGTGTATATGCCTTGAGCGCACTTAAAGGTTTCCATTTCATAACATCTGTAAGCTGATGTATTTATTGCTTGTCCGTAACTTGAGGCACAACGCTTTCTCAGAGTATGGTTCATATGAAACAAGAAGCATATTACTAACATAAACCTAAACATAAGGTTAACCATATAAACTAAAGATAACAGCCATGAGGGTCCAAATATACTGAGAAATATTCAGATAGGACTTTACAATGTAGAGAGCCTATACCATTCAGAGAACATAACAGTTTTACTTCACATCGACAAAACTGTTTCGATAGCACTGTGATAAATGAAGGTTTGGTCATGTCTAAAACTAAACAAACTGTTAAAATCAAAAAGGAAAATGAAAAAGCAGAAAGAGATAAATATTCTCAAGAGACTGGAATAATAAACCAGGAAAGACGCTTGCATTTTCTGTACGTCCCTAGCGCTTTGCAAATTTTCGTCTTCTTGAACATAAGAAAAAAGAACTAGAACAAGTCTAATCTTATGAATATAGTTGTACAGGAGTCACATTCCCCAAAATATTACAACACTAATGCCACAAAATATTACAGGAGTCAGTAGTGAAGTTTCCAGCAAGGAGACCTACAAACAACATGGATGTAACGAATAAAAACAGCATAATACAAGCTCGAAACAACGGTATGAATAGAAGATCACTGCTATCGTCGAATTTTATGTCAAAAAAGATGAGGTAATTCCAACATAATTAACAATCGATACAAGATAAACGAACACCGCTATTGGTACACCGCAACGGACGCCTGTAGTTGCAATAGTTTGGACGTAATGTGCTGTGGGAATTTGTAGTTCACAGTAGCTGCGTAGATAACAATTGCTTTCACCTAGAAAAACGGTGGACGGTAGCCGAAAAAGTAGTTGGTGGAGGTTATTCCATAAGATATGAACAGATAATGATTCTTTTTTTATTTTCATATGAGCCGTCTCCACGTCTACTGTGCGGATACCAGCACTTATCACATTCGATTCGCTTTCTCGCACCCATTATCCACGAAGATCTTCCAACTTTTACGTGTGACTTCGGCTGCTGCTTGAAGATTTTGATTTCATCTTGAATGTCGTAGAACGCTGGTCGAACAATTCTCCCTGGAGTCCTGTGATAGCCGGGCTGGAGCGTACCCAGTTGGATTGGAGAGAGTGATTTTTTCACGGACGAGTCCGGTACCAACTTCCCGACCCCGGAAAGATGAGAGGGTTGTTTGGCTTGATGTGGATTCGAACTAACACCATGCTCGTGATGACCGACATCACTGCTTCTGTGCTATCCACCCCGATAAAAATGATATATTTTAATATTATCGACCTTACTTGTTCCACAAAACACGATATAAGCATCACATCAAGAACCATTGCTATGACTAACCTGTTTATTAAACATCACACTGTGAGATGAAGCAGCCTGAATTGCGTCAACCATGCATCGCATAAGATGGAGGCAAAGATCGGGTATTACTTCGCGCACCTAAAAGATTTGAGTACTATAGCGAAAAATCTAGGTATTGAAACGAAAGCGAATCACCTTCGTAGGTACTAAATGAAACTCTCCAACTATCACAGGTACTTGTTCTGTTTCCGCTGGAATCAGTCGTAGCTGTTTAGAAACACTGAAACATAACATAACTAATAAAGACCAAGTGCAAAGTGCTGGACTTAGATGCAGTACCTTAACGCTTTCTCGGCTATGCCAACTTCACACAAATCAATTAAAGTAGTAATATCTAATAATATGCATAACGTAGAAAAAGCCGCTTCCTGTAACTGAAGATGGTCTGAAATAAACTGCTACAGACACTAGAACACTAAAGAAACACCGTAATGTGGTTTTTAATAAACCACCTGAGACAAACTGCTGAGCTAGACGTCGGAGTTCGTTTATTCTCTCTCTATCGATTCTTAAAATGCGAAAAATGGTTTGAACGGAGATGAATGAAAGTTCTTGCGCTGGCCGACCTGATGGCATCACTAAGTTCAGAGCATAATAGATCAGCAGCTTTTCCGGGAGCATTTGCAAGTATATACAACTTTACGGCTTGGGTTGTATCCCCTCCAAGTTCTGTGTCATGTGCTACACGGCTAATAACATCAGACGGATTCTCAATATACCTAGGAGGGCAAAATCAAATTTTATAAGAAGTACGTTTTACGCAACCAACTTACTCATCAATCAACGCAGGAGTTCGTTTCCTTTCAGGTCCGAGAGTTCCTATAATAGCGTCAGTCTGTCCAGTAAGATATACTGCTCGGCTAACAGCCATTTCAAATACGTCACTCCCAGAAGGCGTTCGTATTCCCTTGAAAACAGGAACGTGAAGGATAATCGTGGAAGCTACATTTTGAATAAGACAATGTTTAATACAACTATAATGGTGCTGAGATATTTACAAAACTCCCGACCGCGTGTTCAGAACCCACCGTAGACACCAGTGGTCCGGAGTTCTGCAAATATCTCAGCATCATTACGGTTATATTCCATATAATACTCTGCCATTAAAAAAGAATAGGTAGTAAATAAGAAACTGACGACAGTCCAACGTTTATTAAAAACTTACTTTCAAAATAAACCAGTAATCAAGTGCTCGAGCGTAATCATCCAATTCGAATTCTTTAGTGTAAGAAACTAGCAAACGTGCCATATTGAACGAGCATTTTGTGAGGTGGGATGAGTCCACTACTACTGCAGTGATTTAAATTAACAATGGAGTAAGCGGATCACAAATAAATTTCCATGTGTAGAAAAAGAACCATATGAACAACAATTTAAGAAGAAAATTGTCTAAAACAAAAATAAACAAACACAATTCCGCCGCTGCATCGATTGTGTTCCGCAAAAAACCCATTTCATAAGCGAGTATGCCAACATGTACAGCGTCAGTAACATGACCACAGTCAAAAAGGAGCTATAAAATTATAACTGCTGCTAATTAGAATTGCTAACTTGATATCAGAAATATTCCATCAAAAAAGGTTTTGCTGACTGTCACAAATAAATCATCGTACCTTCACAGCACGTTCAAACTGCCCAGAAAGCCAAAGTACTGTAAAGTAGTAGTGGAACTCGAGTATACCACCAGCCATGAAATATGATTCGCCTTAAAAAGTTGGCAATACCTTCAAGGAGTGACTAAAGATGACCCAAGGACAAAGCCGAAATACCTCACCATAGTCAATGGATATGTTCTTTTGAACTTCGGCGTAGAGAGTCGCTGATAAATTCGGATCAATTCTCAAAGTGAATAATTTGAACCATAGCCAGTTTTCAAGAGAATCCGCCAGATTGGAGTCTGGAAACCATATGTGTGGATTCATATCCTAGCAAGTGACAAAGAAGTGTTCCTCATATACTGTATATATACTGTACTATAGTGTTCCATTACTGTTCCTTATGTACACTTACCCAATCCGAGTAACGTTGCATAAAGTGCTCGCTTGTACTTATCTTTCGTTGAATTCAGGTTGTGCCTCCATTCCACCTTCAGCTTCTTTTTAAGCTCAGCATCCAGTCCAAACAGTTAAAATAAATATTAAACTATTGAATGATGCAAAAAGTGACAAGAAATTCCTACTTGGTCTCCTTGGTAAGATGATTCAAGCAAGCTACGAGAACTGCTGCTTGTGGAAAGTTAGCCAAAAGCTCAAGTGCGTCTCTAGCACTGGATAGATCACCAGCTCGTAGACAATGGTAGGTAACCTAACAACTTCTCTCTTTCTCTCTCAAAAAAGAAGGAGCAAACAATATAAGAAATCTAAACAGGTATTTCGATGAACAATACAAATGCTCTAACAAAAAGTAACTCATTCGTGACTGAGTTTCTTTTCCATTCAACTTTCCCTGTTTTGCCACTACAGCGCTGCTATATAACGCAATTAAATATTACCTCCCAGACCGGTAGTCCTCCAACAGTTCCATCTTCCGCAAAAGAATCGTCTGCTCCTATCTGTTAAAGAACATCACCATGCAATCAAGAAGAACCAGCAATCTAATATATTTACCTTGAGGAATGCGTCCACTAATCCTCTAGTACCTGGAACTCCTCCTCGCTGAGAGCGTTCTAGATTTCTTTCAACCTGTGCAACCATGTGCTCGACAAAACTGCAAGTAACTCAGAGTGAATGGGATAAGTGAGAAGAAAGTGGAAAGTAACGAAAAAACTTTATTAACGAATTACATACAGTTTCTCCAAGAATAAACAAGCTTTTTCTATTAACAAACTAATAGAAGTAGGGTCATCGTGATCACCAGATATCTGAAAAGATATCCCACAGTAAAAATTGATTGATAGAAATTACATGGCGACCTCTATAAAGATGGTTTTAGGTTCATCATCTCTCAGAAAGGAATTTACTCCAGTAATGAATATGACAATAGAAAGTTCAATACAAAACAGCTCCGCTTTGCCAATAACGCTTACATGGATACCTGGACGACCCGTCCTCACTGGTTGTGCCGACCCCCGCATGATCTCTATCTTTCGGAAATTTGTTGGTTAAGCCGTTATGGTTTCCTGGAGTCCCGAGGTCAGCCTAGCCAAAATCTACCCCAGGTCGTCAACACCACAGGCAGTCGCCGTCCTTGTGGATCAGCTGGCGATTTGCCACCATGCGAATAGTTCGATGCCTGGATGGCGGTGGATTTGGGTATTCATCTACTCTTAGCTGGGCTTCCTGGTGAAAACGCCGGACTCCGTATCAGCTCGGGAGACCTTGCCAGGCGGATGAATCGCCTTGCTATAGTAGTCCGACACCAAGAACACCTTCCAACCACGATGAAGCGGTAAAACGGTAGGAAGTTTTCTTTACATGGAGATGTACGCTTACGAAAATTAACAATCAATGGTACAAACCTTCCGATCGATTAATGCGAGTACTTCAGTCCATACACCAGCTAGTGATCCATCTGTGCCACTTTCCTTTACTGCATCCGAAAACAGCTGACACAGATCCTTCTGCAAAGTTACTGTGGTTATGGCAGTTTGAATAACTAAGAAAAAGCGCATTTATGAGAACTATTACCTTCTTCTTACTTCTCAGAAACCTTCTGAGCTTCTCCGCAAACACTAGCTGACGTCTATTTGTTATTGCAGGGTTCACCATAGGGAACCTATTTAGTGCCGTATCCTGAAGAATTATGCGTGGATAATGTAAATCAACTAATCAGAAAGTGGAAGTACAGCACATAGACCAACTTTCACTGGAATTTTGCTGGTAGCAGCTGACGTTGGTTGAGGACGTGACAGGAGAACATGGTTGAAAAAAGCACGGTCTGTTTCGAGATTTACGCGGTCCATATCTTCATCAAGCTGAATGAACATCGTTACATACCAATTAGGACTAACAGTCACATGGCAGATAGACAGTCATAAAGTACTTCAATGTAGTCCTCTGGTTTGGGTAGAGCTGGAGTAGTCTTTAGCGATGGAACCGTTGATCCAAAAACCACTCCCTTTTCGCCGAACAAGAAGCTTTTCTAAATAAGAGTTCTAATAAGGGCAGAGACGCCTGAAATTTAGAAATAACAGGAGAAGACGGCAGACGACTTCGGTATCCGATTTAAAGATCTGTTAAAAAAAACGAATTAATGCGAAATCCACCTGGATCGGGGCAGATAGCGCATCGGTCTTCCACAAATGCTCACTGGCACGAAATATGCCATTAAGGTCTGTATCAAACGTTGTTCCACTGTAAAGGTTCCCCTAAAGTGAATAAATCTAAATATGTGATTTCGAACAAAGCGCTCCTGAACAAGCACATGAAAACAAACCTGGGCTGCCCCATTGCTGATGCTATTGCCAGTACCTTTGATTCTTGATGCATCAGCAAAGTTGGAATGGTAGTTCGCCGATGAGAGATTTTCCGCTCTGTTGAGGATGTCGTCGAACATTGACATCTATAGCATCTAACAACTGACCCAGTACAACTGGCAAAACAGAAAAATTAAGGAAACAGAAAACGGCAGTAATAAATGCAGTGCACGTCACAAAATACTAGACGAGATAAAAGATTTAGGAAGTACCTTAGTAGATGAGCAGTCAAATCTTACACCTAACGATAGGCAAATACGGATGTCAAAGCGTAGGATCTTCAAGCCCTATGCATATCACGAACGCATTGCACGATGCGTGTAGAGCAGCGGTCGGAGGCGCTCTGTAACCAATATGCCCTCGATACCCGCGCCCCTGACTCACCAAACCTTCCATGCCTCCGGGGTCGACCAAGTGGTACCAGACTTGTCTGGGAGGATAGCACCACTGGCTCGATACATCGGTAAGCCACCGCGAGTCATTGCAAGCGCTAGATATGCATTCAATCACCTCTAAACTATGCCTAATGAAGTTGAATGCATGGCGCATTCCTCAGGGATTAATTAACGCCGACAGCTTCATCCTTTATCCTTTAATGTCACGAAATTGATCAAAAAGCAGTTATGTCGGTTATCATTTTATTTCACTCACTACTGGATGGATAGAGGGGACAACGGGACTAACCCACATGTCCATAAGGGCTCACCATTTTCGCTCAACTCATTGTCTTGAAATGGTCATCCAAAGAGACGATCCGACAGGTGTGTGCATTCAGGTGCGATTTCAGGATTTGTTGCTTCCCAATAACGGGCTGATACCTAGATAAGAGTGGTTTCTACTAGAGTCTCGAGATAGCAGATATAAAGGGTTCTAGCTCTTTACTACAAACACTCGCAAGCACTTGTGATCTGAGGAGTGTTTGCTACTCTGACTATCGGAGTTCTACAGCAAATCTCAAAGCGAAAAATCAATACAAGATGAAAACATTTTCAACTACTGGATATAGTGCAGAGTTTCTTAAAGTCTGCGAAGTCTTCAGATTCCCAAATATCGCAAGGATTAAGGATCTTAGTTGAGGTAAAGTCAGAAATATCTCGTTTTCCCACTTCTTTCCGAAGTTGATTAACAATACACATAAAAAGTAACAAAAAGATAAAACCATGCAACATTCATCTTTCCGTCTGGAAAAGCAGAAAATTAAAAAACAGCAAGAAAAAAAGAAGCTACTTGATCATTATTATTATTATTATTATTATTATTATTATTATTATTATTATTATTATTATTATTACTATTACCTTCCTAACGGTTCACCGCCTCATCGTAACTGGAGAGTTTTCCTGGGTGTCGGGCTACGATGTACAACGAGGTGATTTTTCCCCTCGGTAGGGTCTCCCAAGCTGACGGGTCCGGCGCTTCCATCGGGAAGCCCAGATAAAATGGAATCAATACTAGCATCCACCACCGTCCTGGTATCAAACTAGTCGCATGGTGGCATATCTCCCTTTGATCCACAAGGACGGCGACTGCCTGTGGTGTTGACGACCTGGGGCAGACTTTGGCTAGGCTGACCTCGAGACTCCAAGGAACCACAATGGCTAAACCACTATGGCTAAACCAGCAAAACCCCGAAGAAATCAATATTATGCTGGGGCCCACACAACCAGTGAACATAAGCCTTCCAAGCATTATTATTGTCATCATCATGCGTACCAATACTGCATATTGATATAATGTACTGATACAATAAATACACAATCCGGTACTTTGTGATCATAGTGAGTTCCAGACGTTATTTTTGCGAAATGGCATAGCCTATACTTCCTTGATACTTGAAAGGCCCATCGTCATTAGTTGTACGGGTCCTAGCATAATCACCACTTTTCAGAGATTTGCTAGTTAAGCCATGATGGCTCCCTGGAATCCCGAGGGCAGCCTAGCCAAAGTCTGCACCAGGTCGTCACCACGACAGGCAGTCGCAGCCCTTGTGGATCAGAGGGAGATTTGCCACCATGAGACCTTGATACCAGGACGGTGGTGGATCCTGGTATTGGTTTGCTCCTAGCTAGACTTCCTGACGCAAACACTGGACTCCTTCTCAGCTTGCGAGACCCTGCCGAAGGGACGAATCCTACCCGCTGTACATCGCAGTCCGACACCCATGAACACCTCCCAACCACGATGAGGCGGTGAACTGTTGGGAGGTAGCTTATACCAAACTTAATTAATGATCACAAGATTTAGTATCGAACAGCAAGAAAAAGATGCACTGAGAACAAGAAGTCCCTAGGAATTTAACGAAACGACCATTACAACAGCGAACAACTGATTGTAAAAAGTGTACTAAGAATGGAATTCTAACCAAACATGTAGGTATACCCATAGACATAAGCAGAAGACAGTTTAACGAAACATTTACCAAACAAAACAAAGTCGAAATTCTCGGAAAGGCTTCCTGGACTCACTTTCCGAGAGGAAGAAGTAAATGACGTCCATCTTAAGGACACAGAAATATTTCGCGGGCGTAGCGTGCATTAGAGCGAATGTTTGCACCAGAGCATAGCAACATGTACTTGAAGTTGACCGACCATTCGACCTCATCGGAATTTTTAAAATGCCTTCCAGTTGTACCTCTCGCGTTTTTGTATTAAGTACCTGTCTGTACAGCTCTTTAGGGCGTAATGGAAGGTGCCCATTTGCTCGAATATCCGTTGTTTTATAATCCCAGACGCTGTGGTCGGTTATTGGTGGCATTTCTATGCTAAAACAGTCATTTAGTTTTCGGCTAAGGTTGTGGAAATTGTGCAGAGGCTACTGATGTATCTTAATGGATTTATGTTATGTATAGGCTATTGTTAATGACGCGTATAGTGCAATGTTTAGAGATGGCTTGCAATACACGCGCGGTCCTTGGTTCGATCCCAAGCCTTAGGTTTACCAAACCTTCCATCCCTACAGGGTTGGTAGATCGGTCTCAGACTACCCTAGGAGGGCAGCTACTACTGATCTGATGCCTAGTTAGGCCACTATAAGTCATTGTTCTGATTTATGTGCATTCAACCACTCAATGGTGCTACGAATAGAATTGAATGCATGGCGCACTTGACAGAGATTGAATAATCGCGAACGCTTCACCTGTTCTTTTATAGAGTTTTGATATAGCCTAATGGACTTGTAACTAGGATACTGGTATAGCCACATATTCCAGTGGATCTATTCAATTACAAAGTTTATTACTGTTTGTCGTAGAAGTAATTCAACTTTGTAGGTGATTTTTCCTGTTGTAAACGAAATGGGTACGTTTTGAAGTTCTAGAGTTGTACCCGTGTTGACCTACCTACTTGGATATCTGGATGGCCCGTCATCACTAGTTGTGCGGGCCCCAACATATTCTCCATTTTTCGGAGTTTTGCTGGTCTAGTTTCTGTGGTTCACTGGAGACCCAAGGTCGTCCTAGGCGAACTTTGCACCAGGTAGTCGCCACCACAGGCGGTCGCTGCCTTTGTAGCTCGGAGGAGATTTGTCACCATGCGACCAGTTTGGTACCAGGACGATGGTGGATCTTGGCGTATTGGTTTACTCTTAGTTTGGCTTCCTGATGGAAACGCCGGACTCGTCAGCTTGGGAGAACCTACCGGGAGTGGTTCCCGCGCTGTATTTGGCAACCCGACACCCGGGAACACCTCCCATCCACGATGTAGGAACTACTATGAAGAACAGTTAAGTGTTTATAGCTGTTGGTCCTGTTTTCTCATTATAATGTAAAACATCTATAGAGTATATGGATTCTTCTTTTTCACGTGGTTAGTGTAACACGTTTAATTTAGCCACTATCACTCTACTAACCTGTAAATTACTGCTATTTATCATTTCCTATCTTTGTTTCTTTACGTTAATTTGGTAATCACTGGTTACCCATGCTGCATTTATCCACCTTTACGGGACGACATGAGTCCTGTTGTCAAGTTATCTCAGCTCCTAGTGAATTTTATTGATTGCGATGAAAACTATTAGAATCTGCAAGTCTTTGCCTATAAGCCAAATGTTTTTGTTTTGGAAAGACGAGACTCTGACCTACTGGAGCCAACTACATGTTCTTTCTCCCCTTTTCTTACTTCAAGGCTCAGATTTCAAACATCAAAGCAAATGAACAAGTACGAAATGCTGAGATATTTGCAAAACTCCGGACCATAGGTGTATGCAGTGGAGAACGAACACGCGCTGTTGTCCTTACCGGGGAGCAGCGCACTTCACCATTACACCATCCCCCGGTAAGGACAACAGCGCGTGTTCGTTCTCCACTGCATACACCTGCGGTCCAGAGTTTTGCAAATATCTCAGCATTTCATACGAGTTATATTTCGCAACATACCCTACCATTAAGAAGAAAAAAAAAGGCGGTAAATAAAAGGGTTAAGAATGATGAGATATTTGCAAGACTTCGGACCACAGGTGTCTGCGGTAGGGAACGAACGCGCTATTGTCCTTTCCGGGGAGTAACACGTCCACCA